CCCCGGGCAGGGAGCGGAGGGGCGCGGTGAGAGGCGGGAGGGGAAGGGTCCCGCAGCAGCCCCGCGGCTTTGGGAAAGGTGTGAGCTTTGGGGCCGGCTCGACGCCGCCCGGCCGGGCACAGTGTCTGCAGCGAGACCTGCTGGACCGAGGCCAGGTGTGGGAGGAGGGAGCGCCGGGGCTGGGAGGCGGCGGCGGGGGCCGCCCCTCCTCCGGTCGGGGCTGCCTTTGAGACTCTCCAGAAAGTTCCACCTTGTATTTGTGGGACCCCGAGTTTCCGAAATACTTGTTTATCCTGAATGCACGGTGAAAGCTCTGTCTGTAAGGTGTGTAGCAACACGCGTCTCCAGTGTCTTACTTGGTTATTTGTTGTTGCTTTTCAATATCAACATCATTGACAAGGCTACTGTAGTCATCCTTCTTTCTTGGGGGGGGCAAGCTACTGTAAATTAGAGTGCTAAGTCAGCAAAACGGGGATAAGTCAAAGAACATACGGGGGTAAAAGTATAGGAAGAGGCCGAACTAATTAGAAGATGTAAAAAAAGTGCTGAAAGTTGAGAGTCTAGATACCCGAGTTATCCTGAGAGCAGGCAGTCTCCAGCAGAAACATGCTTTGTGAACATAGAACAAGTCACACAAAGGTACATTAAAAAAAAAAAAAAATGCAGTAAGCAATAGTTTTAAAATTGCAGACAGCCGTTAATTTTGTGCAGTATTGCTGGGTGTAAAATTCAGGGCTCAGAAGAGTCAAAAAGTAACTTTGGGAACTTACTTCAGTTACTGGAGGGCCCTATCAATAGAATGTAGACCCAAAATTTTCAACGAGATAAAATAATTATGGGGAAAAAAACCTGAGGTATGACAACTAAATAGTAGAAAAGAGCATGCTAATTTCCTTTCTATAGTCTTGAGAACTCTTACATTTGATCATTCTTCGATAGGGTAAACGGCAGTGATTAAAGGAGTGCATGTGCCATGCAGCAGTTACTTTGTCTTTAAAGATCCATGATGCATATGATTTAATATGGAGAACGCAGTGCACATGAAGAGCATACATGACATTTTTGTTCAATAGCTTAAGCACATTAGATTCAGCTCCTTCCAAAAAAATCTCTAATCAACTTCATGACGAGCTACAAGCTGACATGTATTCTTGTGTGACCGGTCAGATGACATGACTCAGCAGAGAAAATTGAGAGGCCTAAGGTGCAGAGCAAGTAGCAACATTGTTTTTATTGGACTATACAAAGAATTCTGTGTAAAAACAGGGAATCAAGCTGGTTTGAAGTAGAGTGTAATAAAGCATATAGTAGGTTTTCATGACAGTATTTTATCAGACTGTATGTTTAAGTACTGCAGCAACTTCCTCACAAAGCCTTTTTATCTAACACCCACATGCTCTACAGTGGTCCTTCTGAGAGCTGCGATTTTGTTTTAATTTCAGTTTGGAGTGTGCATTTGTTACCTTAGAAAATAATTTCTGTTTTGTGCAAATGCTTTCTCCTGTATGTCCTTGTTATTAATCAGGTACATTCTTCAGGCGTTTATTTGACACAAATTAAGTCAAGCTCCCACCATGCATCTCTTAATATGTGAGTGGGCCAGTGCCTGAATGTGGCACTCACTTATTTAAGTCATAGAATTTTACTTGTATCAGTCATGCTGGCATGATTCCGAGCCATGTTTGTAAACTCAAAAGCTTTAATTCTATATACTAGCAGTGAATTAGGGAAAGGAACTGGCACTTCCCAAAAGATCATGTAGAGGGTCTTTTTCCTGCAGTATGAGAGTAGTCTTTGATCGCTTGGATTGCTCTGTGCTTCTTGCTGTGCTTTGGGATATGGTTATTGTATGAAAAGCTTAATACTCGTTTTAATCTTAGCAATGAGACTAGTAGTACATTGTGAATAAAATTACAGGGTGCACTGGAAGTTCATATTCCAGTGTTTGCATTATGTTCTTTGGGAGTTAGCTGCAGGACAATTTGTACCATTGTTTATGCCTGTGGGTGCAGTGGAGGGCCAAGCTCTGAAGAATACTAATACAATTAAACCACAGGGGCAGGGCAATTATTAAAAAAATAAAAATGGAGGCATCTTCCAAAAAGAAGGACATGAAGTTGTGTCCAGAAAAGAAAACAGAAAGCATCATAAATGTGAAATGAAATCATAAATGTGAAATGTGGAAACACATTAAGGCAGACTAAAATGAGTTAGAGCAATAACCAGCAAAAAGGAATCGATATTAGTAACTCCTAATATTTACAATCAAAAATCCTGCAAGAGAACCCTGAGGATCCATGCAGAATTAAGGTTGGGTGGGAAGACCAATCATGATGAAACCAGAACAGAGAAAGTAAGGAGGGGATTTTTTTGTTCACTGGAGGGTATCTCTGGAAGATTTCCACAGCAGAACTCCCTTAAACTGAATTATCAATAGAGTGAATGGAAAGATAAGATGTAATTTGGGATGATCAGATGCATTTATCTTGGAATCATAAATTTGTAGCTGGGGAAAGGGGAATGCTGCTTTTGCTTAATATCAGTGTTACTAAGTGGTATTGGAAAATGGCAAATGTGACATAAATATGACTGCCTGAAAGGACTCCTGGAGTGATCCAGGAATCTACATACCAATATGCCTGACATCTCCACTGGGCAAGG